CAAACCAAACACTGGCTGTAGTTTTTTTTTTGAGTTTTTGTGAGTTTCGCAGCCACTATAATTTCTCCTACACACTTCCCAGCCTGTTCTCATTTCCAGACCATCAAATACAGATACACAAGGTGTTCAGTTTGTTGCAATCTGGAACTTCAATGCTAGATACCACTAAATCCTACACACTGGTCCTTTAACATAAACACCTACTTCAAAACAAAAGCTACAAAATTAAATCAAGTGCTCCTTTGGTTGTTCTATTGAAAAGCTGAGCTCTTCCTCTGTAACAGTTTATATTAGCGCTCAGTGGAATGACTGTAGGTGGCCCTGAAAAGCCAGAACTATTTACCATATAAAATGGGTTTGGTATGTAAAGTATGTTTAACATGTGGTCTGCCCCCTCTGGTTGGGGCTATTGTTCCCGTAGTGTTGGTCCAGAGTGTAAGTGGACTGAGTGTGATCACTCCTGGTGGCCCCCTTCAGTTTTACTCTCATCTTGGCTCACTGTATGGTTCTAATCGCTGGCCAGCTGTATGCTGCTGTGTACTTACACCACAGGGTAGTTCAGAGAACATGGCCACACACTGACACTGTGCATTGTAATCCCTCTGTGACACCAGGACACTGTGTGTCTATATAAGTGTATGCATGCATGCAAGTATGCGTGTGCTCTACAGTGAACGTGCACATGCCTCTGCCCAGTATGCCCACTTTTGTGCTAATTTGCTTGTGTGGGTTTTTGCATTTGTTGTGTGGATTTGTTTGACTGGCCTCGCCTGCTGTTTGCATCTCTGTGTGCTTTAATTAGTATGCGCTTTCGCATCTAGGCCTTTGTGATTTGGCACTGGCACTGCATGCTGGCGAGGCATAAAAGATTTGAAGTCTGTCTGTGCTAGTCATTCAGACTTAATGGCGTTAGTTATACAACTGAACTCAAGTCCCCACTGCATAAATGGGTGGCATTTAGAAATATGAGCAAGTCCGATGGCAGTGAATCATGTAGCGCACCGCTGCAGAGCATGTCTGGGATGACTGACATTGACATTGACCCAGATGGGCACTCCTCCTGAATGGACAACGGCTGAAACCTAAGCAGTGCTAGCTCAGTGTCAGGAAGGGAAAACAGCCCCGCTCTGTGGGTTTCAGCACTAACAGTAGTGGGGAAGAGGGGCTGACTCAGTGTCCTCGTCTGCTGCTAAGCCCGTCTGGCAGGGAAGAATGCTGTGCAGTGAGAGCTTCAGTTTATAAAGAACTTCCAAATTCTAGCCTGCTTAAGTGGCACTAGCACTGCTCTTTTTAGATTTGACAATGCCAAGGAGAGCTCACTCAAAGCCTGCTGTTCCTTCAGGACAGCGGACAGCACCTACCAGTCTCTGATGCAGCTCCAACATTTCAAATGTTATTTTCCCTAGTCTTGTGAGTTCAGGACCATGGACAGCAGCTCTCACAGTACAGAGAAACTGTCCTTCAATGCAGCAAATTTCACTGCACGATCACTCACTCTGCCTCTACTCCTATTCTGTTTCTGTGCCCCTGCCTCCACCTGGGCTGTAAAGGAAGCCGGCAGCCATTTTGTTATTTTTTTGTGTGTGAAGCTGAATGTGGAGGCATTTGGAAAAGTATGCAGTTATGGAGAGCTGAAGAGACTGCAAGTGTCTCTCACAGTACCTCTTTGCAGCCCTCTTTCATGCCTCTCAGTCTGGCTCAACGATTAACCCTGAGTACCCCATGGTCCCTGCTGACCCTTCTCCACACAGAGACCTGCTGCTGGCCACAGCAGTACATTGACATGCCTCTCAGACGTCTGATTAGCAGCAGTGGGTGTGCAAATGGTGTACACACAAGAGGTGAAGGTGCACACAGACACTAATCCTCCTTTTTTTTGCTTGTTCCACATTACTTCCCTCTAATTCAGAGAGAATCCTAAGGTGCTGATCTGACACCTTGTTGAGGTGGAATAGACTGAAGGATGCTAGAAAGGACACACAGTTCTTGTGATAAGCTGCTGCCTGGCTGTGTGTAGGAGTTTGTTAACATTTGAAACTCTCACAGTTTGTTTCACAAGTGGTGCAATATCTTATTGGAGAAGCTGGTATGGCTGCAAATCCTCCATGCCAATATGTGATCTGTGATGTTCCAATGTGAAAACTGGATTGCCAGACTGTGCATCAACAGAACTGAAATATTACTGCTCAATTAAGGCGAGTCAATAATAGCTTATTTGTGTTTAACATGAGGACAATAGGAACCATTTTCATTCGCCCTGCTCTTGTCAAATACTACACATCATATTTACAATGTGGTCAAATAATAAAGTGCCTCCTAAAAGTATTAAGGTTCATTGAATTGTCAATAACTTTGCCTCTCTCTCTCTCTCTCTCTCTTTCCACTCCAGCTCTGAGCCGGTCAATGATGCCCTTCGGCTTGATGCGTCGAGAGCTGGCGTGTGAAGGCTACCCGATCGAGTTGCGCTGCCCTGGAAGTGATGTCATCATGATTGAGACTGCCAACTATGGCCGGACCGATGACAAGATCTGTGACGCAGACCCCTTCCAAATGGAGAATGTGCAGTGCTACCTTCCTGACGCCTTCAAGATAATGTCACAGAGGTAACCATTGATCTGTTTTGGTCTTGTGTATGTGTTTGTACAGAGTCAGAGTCCATTATTGGCTGAGGAAACAAGATATCATTTCACAACATAATTCGTCCAGAATTTCCTGCTTTTCCTCCTGAGGTGTTGATATCTTGTGTGAAATACTGAATTCAGCATCCTTATTCTGTGCAGAGCACCACTGTATCTTGGAGAGATGTGCATGTGTACGGTGATGTGTGTGTGTTTAGTTGTGCATACATGCACGAGTGTGTGTATGTGAATGCGTATGTTTTGGATTGTTACAAGAGTGTTTGTAGGGCTTCCTACAGCTGCTCTCTGTGTTTGCGCTCAGCATCTGCTTCCTCTGAGCTCAGATCAATGGAAGCCCTCTCCTAGCTATCCATCACGCATGTAATGGAGGCACAGGGTGCTAGCTTGGGGAGAGAGCAAAGGAGGGAGGGAAGTGGCAGGGGGTGGAGGAGAGAACTGAGGGGGTAAAGGAAGGAGAGAGACAGCTAGAAATGATGGGATGATAGAGTGAGTTCAGCATAGATTTGAGATATGAAGGGAGTAAAAGACAGCACAGGGGAGAAACGCTAAAAGCTGGATAGAGAAGGATTATGTGATGAGAATGAAAATACATGTGTGTGGATGTGTATCTTTTCTACTGTGTGTGCGTGTGTTTCTCGGGGTTTGCAAACGTGAGAAGTCATGCAGCGATGCGGTTTAGATGTAGGTATTATGTGCATATAAATGTTTTTCCTGTGTGTGTGGTGTAGAGTATTTGCCTTAGCCCCCCTCGTCCTTCCCTGTTCTCTCACCTCTAATTGCTCCCACTCACAATCCCCCAGGAGAGGAGCCTCTTACGTCACTCGCCCTCTCTCTGCCTCTTCCCTCCCTCCTTTTCTCTCTCTATCCTTCGTCCGACTCCTTTTCCTCCTCCCTTACTCCCTCTCTGTTTTCCACCTCCCCTCGGGTGCAGCTGTCACATGATCTAGTCTAGTGTGAAATTACTCTCTTCCCTACCGTTCTTTCCGTCTTTTAGAGCCTGAAGATGGTTTTTTTTTGCACCCTCTGTCTGTCTTACAATGGCACTCGTCATTTTTTTATCACTTACTTTCTCCCGTCTCTGTTTTCTCCCTTCCATCCCCTGTCTGTCTCCTCTCGCAGGTGTAATAACCGAACCCAGTGTGTGGTGGTAGCAGGGTCGGACGTGTTCCCAGACCCCTGCCCAGGGACCTACAAGTACCTGGAGGAACGGTGCCTGGCGAGATCCATTTCACGAGTGCGTCCCCTACAGTGAGGTACTGAATGAGACCTTGTCACCCCCTCCCACCTCCCCACCCTCCTCACCCCATTCACCGCCCCTCCCATCCCTCCCTTTACCCCCCACCCGAACTTCCTATCCCCTCACCAATACCCAAAAAACCCTTGACAAATGACATTCTCACATTCACACGTGCACACTTGCTCTCTCTGGCTTTTTTCACCACAAGCAAAACAAAACGAGACAGTTCTATTCACCTGCTTTCTCTCTCTCTCTCTCTCTCTGTCTCTCTCGTACACTTCCACTGCACAGGCACACACATGCACACAGTCACACAGACGCGCTAAACCTTTTTTCTTCATCGACAGAGCGACGCACCAGTGAGAGGGATTTTCACATGGGGGAAGGTGCTCCACAAATACAGGGTCCGATAATCACACACACCCACCACAAACGTGGGGTCAGCCCTTATTGGCGATCACAGTATTGTAACACACACCGCCCCGCACTCACACACTGTTTGACCCAGGGGCATACCACTGCCTTTATCTGCTGCCAAACACCTTTGCTGTCCCTCTGATTTCCAATAAAAATTAAAATTGGGCGCAGTGAGATTGGGAGTCAGGGGGCGTTGTGTGTATGCTGCACCTCACAATAGCAATGTTAACACAAACAGCAAAGGGCTTATTTTAGTCCACATGACCTGGAGCGCCTCACATTTTAATGTCCCCATGGTAACGGCTGACTTCCTCACGGCACTGCTCAAAGCTCCATGGCAGGTGTGACATACACACATGCCTGCACACACACACACACACAACATACATACACACAAACGTCTACCTCACACTTACAAAAAGGGGGACACACAGTTGCTCTCTTTCTCTCTCCCTCTGACTCTTTCTCCTCTGAGCAAGCATGCACACACAAACAAGAGCACACAAACACAGCCAAAGGAGCAGACACAGAAAGGATTATATGGTGTTGTGTTGATTCTCGTTCATGTGAAAATCTCCGCTCCCCTCCTCCCTCTCATGTATTACTCTCAGCATTGATCCCCTCACTGTGCAGGAACACCTGGCTGGAGGGGAGGGGCAGTGGCGCTCCCCTCCACAGGTCAGAAGCAGAATTGAGGTGCAGGAAGGGGTGGAATGACAATTGAGGGTGTTGGGGTGGTGGGGAATTGGGATACATGGGTCTTCTTGGGGTGAAGGGGCTTTTTGATTGATCAGGGTGGGGATGTGGGGTGATTATCTCTGCTTTTTCCTCAGGCACAGCTGTGGTGAGCCACGGGTTCGAGTCGACGGCAAGCTGCTAACCTCCTTTGCCCTCTTCTTCTTCTTCTTCTACTACTTCTTTTGTCTCATCTCTTCTCTCTGAGGTCTCTCACTCATCCTCCCTTTGCTTATGATCTCTCACAGTCAATACCACCTCTTTTCATGTCTCTGAACCCTCTTTCTATATTCTGCTTTTCTCTCTTTCACCTACCATCTACACTCAAAGGTCTTTAATCTTCATCTATCGACAAATTTTTCTCATTCTTCTTCTATTTATACTCTCTGTCCATCAATCTGCCACGATATCTTATCATTATTATCTGTCTCTTCCGCTGTCTCTGTTGTTTTTTTCTTTTACAGGAGGGACAAATATTCGAAATCCAACCATCCAGCCCTGGTGGAGAGGCTCAGAGAAACTCAGGGACTTCCAAGCACCTCTTTCAGTTTTTGCCCTTGGTCTGCTCAGTGATTTTGTGCCCTCAGTTTACCTTTTGAGAGACTTTGTTGAGTCAGGTTGCAGCCACAGTCACAGATAAGAAGAGGTTAGCTGGCTTTCTTGCCACTAGGGATTATTCTCTGGTGTGAATCTTTTCTTCACATCCTTCCAAGTGGCAACAAGTGTTCCTCTCGAGTCTCCTCTGCCCTCTGTTCACCTGTCTTTCAGTCGATGTTAGCTGCGGTCAAATTGACCCTCTCCAGGCGCGTGACTTTGTTTGTTAGTCCTCTGGTAGTTTTGTGCTGTAGCTTGGTGTTCTGTATTGTTTTGTCCATAGAGGGTCATGTAGCATTGCTCCGTTGTACCTACCTCCTTCTCCTCACGCATTCTAACCTTGTCTTTTTCCCTCTGACTGCACAAGGGAGCGTGCTCTCTCTCCTCAAAGCAATCAAAGGGATGATTAAATAGCTGCTGACTTGCATTTTTTCCCCCTGTGTTTGGAAAAAAACTTTGTTGATTGCGTCTGAAGTATGGCGCGGCTTAGAAAATTGGAAGCTGATCCCTCTATGATGAAAAGCCCCGCCTGTGTGAGGTGACAAAGAAGAGCCAATTACCCCTGTCCTCTGCCACTCTCTTCCACTGGAGACATACAACCACGCTACACTCACACACCCACGCAGAATCACACACATATGAACACAACTCATACTGAGGGCTGCTGTACGTGTTCATCTGACAAAGTAAATACGACCTGACACATTCAGACTCAGAGCTGGAACTGTTCATCCCAAAACCTAGTCATCGTCACACCACACGCCGCTCAACTCGGCCACTTTTAATTACCAGGAGAGGGGGCGCGTCGCTCTCTTCAGTTCTGCCTCAGCAGAGATTTGTCAAGATTAATTGAATTTGCTGCTGCTAATCGCTCTGGTAATGCCCCAACGTTCACGTCTGGCTGGGAACACTGGGCACTCTGGCATAATCCCAGGCTGACGCATGTTTTCCGTTGGTTGTCTTGATGAAAAGGTTAACAATAGAGAGATGATATGTTAAGGTTGTGTGTCGTAGCAGCTGAGATGGTGTGCAGCCATGTTGATGGCTGAGTGTGATGTTTGCGTCTGACAGGGTCCTCTGTGTGTGTGTCACACAGGCGCCATGTTACCAGTCACCTGAAACTGCGAGGTGACAGCCACAGCCGAGCTGACACACACACCTCTGTCGGCTGTGCTCAAACAAGGGTCTAGAACGCGTGTGTGTGTTGTTGCGCGTGGGATTGCCTTGGCAAAAATACAACATCCGCCAACAAGTCAAATCATATCTCATCGAGCCAAAAAGCCCTGCGAGGCCTTCCCGCCACATAGCATTGTTTTTGCCAACCGGAACAGAGCAAGACAAAACGGCTCAACTGAACTCTCATTTTGCACTGTCACAGCCTGCTGTAGACTGCTGGATTGCATTAAGACATCACAGATCCATGCACACAGCTGCAGCGTGTATTTACTGCAGTGGAAACCCTACACTGCAGTCTTAACACAGATGTACACTGAGTCAAAGTAAATCTACCCTGCGAGAGAACTATACCTGCCCCCCCTCCCCCTCCAGGACACAGTGCTACATCATTATTGACTCGTAATTCTCTCCGTTTGGGCCATCCATGGTAGCCATGCCAGAGCCATTAAACTTACTGTTGTGCCTCTGCTTCATCAGCTGTGGTTTATCTTGTTAATATGCACACTGCAGGTAGCTGAAGAACCGGGTTTAAAAGCGCCTACTCAGTAGAGATTTTGCAGTGCTTCTTGGGTAACTCTGTATTCTCCACTATCACATTGTTATTTTGTGGCTCTGCCACTGTTTCACTTTATAAAATTGATTCTTCCCCACAAATGTATTCAGCACTGCCTGTTCATTATGAGACATTGCTTTTTGGACACAAAGCCACTGGAAATGATAGTTGACTTGTTGGGATGAGTTTGTCAGTAAAAGGAATAATGGTGTTGTAATATGACAAGTTTTCAGGGGAGGTGAGGAAACACTTTGATGTAGCTAAAAATGAAATTCTATTAATATGTATTGGACCGCTATTAGACGTGAGGCTCATAAATGTTTGGTGAATGAGAAGCAGGAGGCTTTGCTTACGCCATGGAAAAGGATGACTCTTTACCGTGAAAAATGTTAAGTGAGAGAAGTAGAAAAAAGAGAGGGGGACAGGACAGAAGAAGCTGGAGAGGACACACTATCTCTCAGCACTGTGAAAGAGACAGAGGAGGCGAAGTTGTCCTGCAGTACTCCAACAATGTGTGTGTGTGTGTGTGTGTGTGTGTGTGTGTATATATATTTGAGAGTGTGTGTTTCTAGCTGTACTCATTAGTGTGGGAGTAATTGATAGGGTTGTAGAGAGCGCTGAGCAGAGTGATTAAGGGGAGAGAGGGCAGTGGCTTATTTCTCAAAAGGGCCCTGAAAGAGAAATGCTGAATGAATCAGACAAACAACCAAGGTGGCCTTAAACTAACCTCCTGCTCACTGTGAGGACAGTTTGATGAGTTTCTGTCTCTTTTCTCTGTGTTTGTGTGTGTATGTGTGTCCTTAGGTATGTGTGATGATATCGTGTGTGTTTGTGCTTAGTGTCTATTTTTCAGGACAACCGAGAGCAAAAGAAACGGAGTCAACAGAAGTCTTCCACCTACCCTATTCTTCTTCTCCCTTTCTGCAGCATTGAATATGTTTTCTTTCTCTTTCTGTCTCTCTACATGTCACTATCAAACCAATCTTAGTCAAATCATTTCCCTTCCCTTTAGTAAACCATCGTTTGAGGACTGTAACGTCACACAAAGTGGACAAGCTCTGCTGTCAGTATGCCTGACTTCATATTTTCAAGCTCTGCTGAATTCTGGTGTCCCCATGCACCCCCCCTGCAGTTGTTTCAGTGAGGATGAAAGCTCCCGATGTTCTCTGGTCGGTCTCTCCCTCCCCTAACCTTGGAGCTAATGATTGCAGTCGCACTTGGTGGTAGGGATGTAATGCTTTCTTGCCCCCTGCCCCAGCTTCACAGGACTCGTATTCATAGCTTGGCTATGTTTACCCCTCTAGGCTGAAAATGGCTACCATTCCCCAGGTCTTCATGGAGGATGTTTGTCCAGTTTGATCTTGGCATGAGATGATAAATGATCAGTGTTGCTGCTGATACTGATGCTGCCTCTGTTGTAATGCTGCCAAGATGCAAGGCCATCCCCCACACAGATCAGGCTATTGCTAACGCTCCCTTTTTCCTTTTTATTTTACTCACTCTTTGTCTCTTTACATCTCTCTCACTCTAGCTTTC